CAGTGAGACGTTCTGGGCGTCAGCCATCTCCCCATCAGACGGGCACCTGGGGAAAGAAGCTGGTGTCCTTAGGGAGAGGCCACTTGCCCTGCCAGGAGTCTAGCTTCCCCAGCCTGTCTGGCTGGATGTCCTGGGCTGAAAGCTTGTGGGAGACTGAGGGGAAGAGCAGAGCCTAGAGTCCTCCTGAGACCTCCTGTGTGAGCAAGCCCCTGGCACAACCACTGTGGTGCTGGGTGAGGGGGACCTCAGTCCCCTGGGAAAAGCCCTCGAGCCCAGGGCATGGAGGCTGTATGGTTTGCTTGATGGACATCTTCAACTACAAGCGGGTGAAGACTCAGGCAGAGGAGGTGAAAACAGGGCAGGAGGGGGAGGGTAGCCCAACTCCAGGCGCGGGCATACTGTCCTTCCTTCTCGATGGGGACGGTAAGCTCAGGGGAGACCCTTGGACATGGGTTCAGGACATTCTCTGGCTACAAGCTGTAGTCTCAGCAGAAAACGGGCGACATCCCTGAGTCATTGGAGAGTCCGGTCTAGTGAGTTACCCACAGGAACAACGCTGGAGGTCTCTGCCCCTTTCTGTACGTGGGAAATTGAGGCCCGGTGAGGGACAGATCTGAGCGGCAGGCCTGGGGCTGCTGCCACCCCGGTACCCTGACTTCTAGGCGGGAGTGCATATCCGAGAGCCTGTAACAGGTGGTGCCTGACAGCCCGTGTGTACGTGTGTGCAGTGTGTGCGTGCGTGCATGCACTGCGCCCTTACCTGTGTCCCAGCCCACAGCCCACAGCCCCCACTACCTGTGGATCCCCTGTGCGCCTGGGACCACTTGGGAGGTGGACAGATTAGACGGGTGAGGGGCAGACAGGAAAAAGGGAAGAGAGGCAGTATTTGCCCCCACCCGAGCACCCAGCATGCAGCAGGTCCTCCAAGCCAGGGGGGCCAACACCCACCTGGTCCCTGGGCACCGGGCCCCTGCTTGATCCTGGTGGAGCAGCCAGGCTGGCGCTGCCTCTTGGCTCAGCCGCTGTCCCTGGGTGCCTCCCCGCAGGTACAGGTCTGCTTCCTACTTCTCTGTCTTCGCCTTTAAGGCCCCTCCTCTCCTCTGCCCCCTTGTGCGGAGCCGGACCTGGTCACTCCCTCCAGAGTAGCCACTGGCCAACTCCTCAGCCCCGGCTTCCCCGAGTGGCATGCTCTTCTGCTGGCTCTTCTCTGCTCTGCGTGGCTGCCTCTTTTTCTTTCTGCAGCGAGTAACCCATTGATCTAGCTCTCTGAGACTCGCTTTGTAGTTAACCCCTCTGTGCCCAGGGCCTAGCCTGCTCCTGGAGCTCCCACCTCCCATGGCCCTGCCTAGAGGCTCCACCTCCATCCGCTCCCCTCCCAATTCCAGGCAGAGCTCCGATTCAAGCTTATAAAGGATTTCTAGTTTTGAACTGGGTATCCTAGACTGGGGACCAGGATACAAGACCCCTTCCTCAGGCCCATGCGAATCCTCAGACCCTTCTTCCCGAAGCTGGATCTAGGGCTTGGTCCAGCTGGAGACCAAATGGTTTATGTACCTGTCTGCAGCGTTTGCTTTAGCCTCAGGATGCTGAGGAATCAGTGAAGGTTTGAGAGCAGGATCATAATCTGCGTGTTTTATTTTGTAAGAAGCTTATTGTGGCCCGAAATGAAAAGGATGGGCAGGTGAGACCTGTGGGGCATCATCCCGGCGAGAGCCCAAGAGGCTAAGCCGTCCTGGTGAATAGCTGGGTGATCCAGCCAGGGGGCCTGGCCTGAACCCTTGGGAAGAGGAGTGGGGGCCACATGCTTCCCAAGGGGCAGAGAGGCCAGCACCTGGGGCATGGGGGTGCGAGTTGGACAAGTGCAGAGAGGGCAAGAGGCAGCTGCGGTGGGTTCAGGGAGAGAAGGGTGGTGAGGACGGCGTGTAGTCTTTCTATGAGCTGGGTCAGGGTCTCAAGGGCAGGTCTGTGAGAGGGGAGAGGACTGTAGGGGTGCTGTTGCCTTTTTTGCAAGACCTGAGGAGCTGGAAGACTCCTTAGAACTGGGGTTATCTTGAGACCAGCAGTTAGTGTAATGCCTATGTCACTGGACTCTCAAATAGTTGACCGTGGTTCAAGTCCTGGACCCGGGGCTTAAAACTCATGCTGGGCACGTGTGCGTGCGTGCCCAAGATCCCGAGAGACTAGAGGAGAAGAGATTGCAGCGTGGTCATCCCCCCTGGGGGGTGATTTCTCACTTTCTGTCTCTCTCTGTTTCTCTGGAGTGCGTGTGCCCTATAGCAAAAAACTTCTCCAAAAAAAAAAAAACAAAAAAAAAAAAAAAAAAGGCCTGAGATTACCAGCAGGGCTGGAGGTGCTCTTCTAAAGCCTGATGTCACGCACCCAGATGCAGAGAACCCCTAACGTTTGGATACACTCACTTAATTGAAGCTATTAAGAATTAGACTCGAACCCTCCCCACCTGAATTCAGAACCATCGGAATAGAATTAAGGATTTAGAGCTGTAGAAGCTGGTGGCCACTGAAAAGCAGATTTGGGGGATTCTAGACTCAGTGGGGTGAGATTTTGGGAGATCCACACCAGCCTGTGAGCGTTCGCAATGTGAAAGGGAACACACTCGTCAGCCCCCAGATGCCTAGACACACCGGTGTGCACGCTGTGACCCTGGAAGGCCCCTGAGATCCGCGGGAGCCCCATCCCATAGCACCCCTCCTCGCTGGCTTGGTGGGGCTCAGCAAGACTAGGGCAAAGAACCCCCAGTGGCCCACAAGCCTGGGTTAATAGCAGAGGTGGAGGGAGGCGGGAGGGACTGAGGCGGCCAGAGAGCATGGCTGCGGGCAGGCAGGACAGATGAGCCCGAGCCTGAGCCCGACCCCCAGCCCCAACCACAGCCTCTTCCCTTGCTCTGGAAGGACGAGGCCTTGAGTCCCGTGCCCACCACAGAGGACTTGGACAGCTGGACCTGAGGCCCCACAGCCTGTCTTGGGCGTCAGGTGATTACCAGTATGCGCCCAAGCCAGCGCAGGAGCGACTGCTGCCCCGCTGGCGCCTCCCACGACCCCTTTTGGATGGCCCCCAGCCCCAACCACAGCCTCTTCCCTTGCTCTGGAAGGACGAGGCCTTGAGTCCCGTGCCCACCACAGAGGACTTGGACAGCTGGACCTGAGGCCCCACAGCCTGTCTTGGGCGTCAGGTGATTACCAGTATGCGCCCAAGCCAGCGCAGGAGCGACTGCTGCCCCGCTGGCGCCTCCCACGACCCCTTTTGGATGGCGGCGGCGGAGCGCACCTGGGCCGGCGCAGCGGGGCATGCGGAGCCGCGAGCTGCACAAAGCAGGCAGCGCGTGTCCTGCACCATTGGCTGGTGGAACTCGCCGCCTCACTCATCCTGCCTGGACCTGGGTCCCATGTTCTGACCCCGCTGGGTTCATCACATCGACAGTGACAGGGCTGTTCCTTGGCCACCGGGCGTGACCTGCCATTCTGCACAGACCAAGCACACACAACCAAGTCGCTGGCTGAGCGCTGAGCTACCACTGCCAGACCGTGTGCCCCTTTGGCAGCAGTGCCCCTGGTGCCAGGCACCTCACCCCGCGGTGTGGTGTGGGCCTGCGGGTGTTACTGTGGCTAATGCAGCCACAGCTGCTCCCCCACAACGGAATGCATCCCTTCTCCCCAAATGTGAGCTCCAGTCCCCAGCCCTAAGCTCCTGATTGCTAGCTAGCATGCTCAGACACCCAGCTCAGAGCCTGCAGGGTTGGGCCCTAGTTCCCCCACATCATCCAACCTAAGATGTCGGGGCAAAGGGGTGGGCTGGGGGTGTGAGTGGCCAGAGACATGGCTCCAGTTCCCTGTCGTTTATAATAAAAGGCTTTTTCATCTCCTCTGCTCTACCTCAAGGAAACTTTGAGCTTCCCAAGGCCACACCACGCTGAGGCAAGGGCTGCAGTGACTCAGAACCCACTCTCCATCCTCATCCCCACCGGAGCCCCCAAGGCCAATGGAGAGACACACCCCCCTCCTGCAGCGCCTGTATGAAGGGGATTGGCACTTCCATTAGGGGAGCGGCACGCCGTTGTGGAGGACTAGGATGGGGCCTTGGTAACAGCAACTCCTCCCTCCCGGCCTTGCCTGCAGGGCGACCAAACACTGCTATCCAAGGTTCCGTCTGGAGTGGGCGGGAGAGCCGCGATGCAACCTGGGCTCTGGCGCCCCCTGGCGGCGTCACCAGACGCTAGGCCTCGGAATGAGCGAGGACCGATCTCAGACCGCAATGTGACATCCACACCAGGTACCATGAGGGAAACCAAAGCACACGCTGGGAATGGGGCCTGCTCAAGGCCGCAGACAGGGACAAAGGAAGCTAGAACTCAGAGCACCAGGCTGTCAGGGGTCTCTCCACGACGAACCCCACGATGATCCACATTTTCTTTGGCACCTGAACCCCTACCTCTCCTCTTAAACCTGGTTTGGATATTCAGCCTTTTTTTTTTTCTTTCTCCTAAAGAGGTTTTTGCCAAAGAGTACGTGCGCTCACCAGAGAAAGATAGACACAGTGAGAGGGAAAGTGAAAAACCACTCCTCTCCCCCAGGAGGGATGGCTCCACTGCAACTGTTTTTCCTCCCTTCTTTTCCTGGGATCTTGGGCATGCCCACACCTGGCATGATTTTCAAGCCACCGGGTCCAGGACTTGAACCATGGTTGGCCATGTGGGAGTCCAACAATGTGACCATTATGCCATCTGCTGACCCCACCCCAGCTTCTTATCTGGGTAGCTGCATGGAATGGGGAGGGCCCACAGGGCTGGTGCTCTGATGTCCTCAGCACAGGGACACACTGAGGCAGATGGTGGCCCTGGGCCATCTCCTGGATGCTGGGGTTCCATCTTAATTTGGGGGAGGTCATCTCTGAGATCTCAGGAGCCTCAGAACCAAGCTCCCACCTGATTCTTCAACCAGCCATGGGAGGGGGCTTGCCCAAAGAGAAAAAAGCAGACCACGGTGTCACGGCTGACGTTCACACTGTTGTTTTTACGGCCGTAGGCACACACCTCGTCGCAGTCCGGCCTGAGGACTTTGGTCAGGGCGCAGAGCCTCTGGCCTGGGCAGATCAGGGGCATCCTCTATCACTGTGACGGTGGGTGGACCTTGGCTTTGTCTGTCCCTGACCAGGCTCAGGGCAGCACCCCGTGTAGCCGTCCCACCTCCACGAAGGCCTCCACACAGCGGTCAATGTCGTCCTCACTGTGCACCGCTGAGATCTGTACCCGGATCCGGGCCTTCCCTTTGGGAACCACAGGGTAGCTGAACCCGGTAACAAAGATGCCTGGGAAGGGAGAGAGCAGTGACACACACCAGACAGGCTCTGGGGGGCAGACGGGTCCTCCTTTCCGGAGGACACGGGAACTGCCCGAGGTCTTTCTCATGGGGCGCCGCACCATGGCCGGGGGCCTGCAGGCTTGGGCACACAGCTGGGTCAAGAGAGGTAGTGGGGTGGGGGGTCTAGAGGGTCCCTCTCTTCTCTTAGGACCCACGGACAGTCCTCTTGTCCCAGCCCTTACCTCTCCCTAGCATGTCGTCTGCCATGCGAGAGGCCAGCCGGGCATCCCCCAGCATCACAGGACAGATGGGGTGACTGGCTCCAGAGATGGTGAAGCCGGCGGCCTCCATCTTACTGCGGAACCTGCGGGCATGGCTTGGTGTCACAGGCCGCTGGGGCCATGGAGTACTCGCACCTGCTCCAAATGGCCAGGTGGGGGCCGACAGAGCAGGCGCAATGGAAGGGGAGTGGAAACATGCAGTTTACAAGAGGGAGACCCAGGAGGTAAAAGGTGGCGGCAGCGGGGAGAGGTGGGCAAGCAGAGGCAAAACGCATGGCCAGGGAGCCACCTCAGGTCTGGCAGGCACTCAGGGCAGGCTCTCCACACGCCCCCATCCCAGCCTGCTTGGCCCGCCGGGAAGCCCACCGCTGGGTCTTGGCAGCCATCGACTGGACGATGGAGTTGCTCTCCATGAGCAGGTCCAGGGCCTTGGTAGCGCAGCCGACGACAGCAGGCGGCAGACTGTTGGAGAAGAGGTAGGGCCGGGCACGCTGCCGCAGCAGGGCCACCAGGGGCTCAGGCCCCACCGTGTAGCCCCCTAGGAACAAGGGCAGAGGCAGTGGTGGTGGGAGGGGCTGGTCAGGAGTTAGGAGCCAGAGCCGACCCCAGCCCTCCCCACCTTGCCAGAGACCCCTCCAGGGACCCCAAGGACACCACCCTGTAGGCACCTTCTGCTCCGCCCAGTGCCTTCCCCAGCGTGGAGTTGATGATGGTGACCTGGTCCATCACACCCAGCAGCTCATCCGTGCCCCTGCAGGAGAAGCTGCCACTGCCATCCCTGGCCTCTCGGCGCCCCACCCACCCCC